TGGCGGATGCGAAGTGGTTTAGTTAAACGTAGTTTTTTCGTTTAATAATTTACATTTGAGGTCCGGCTCGTTTGATTGAGCAAGCACGCACACAAATTTTTTACGCCATATAAGCTAATGGTAGGTCCCGCACAGTAACCGACTTCGACCAGGTGCCACGTCAACTTGAGTAATGTCTGGTGCGCCTCGATTAAATGGGCTCCATTAAGGATGATGGGCCTGTGTGTGTGTGTGTTTTTTTTTTTTAAATTACAAACAAATATTTTTCTATTTTCTTACAAAATTTTAGTTGAAAATTGAAATTGATTATTTCTGTACAAATTTGAGAATTAATTTAATAGTTTTCATACAAATTATTTTATAGATTTATTTTACTGTTAATATTTATATTTTTTTGTATATGATTACATATTTTAATCCAAAATATCAATCAACAAATGAACTTTTCTAAGGGCATACGATAAAGAAAAAAACTGCATAGAAAAAGCTAAAGTAATCCAAGCCACTCATCGTTGTATGTTTCATTATCTAATCATACAAATTTACAAACTAAATCATACACAATTCGTGTAGCATTTGACTTGTTTATTATTATGTGTGAGAAATATGCTACACAGATAAACTCAAAGACAAAAGCATATTTGGTTGGAGTAGAATATGAAACACAAAACTACAATCTATACATAATAGCAAACTTAAGGGAAATAATTTTGATGACATTATTTTATGGGTTAATTTGTTCAGTAACCCAAAAATAAAATAAAGAGATTAAATAAGTAACTAAAATTTTTTTAAGTGACACAATTACAACCATTAGATTAAGCAATCGTTTCATCATTATATATAACCAAAGCTTTTAACTAAAACCTAAATGAAGTTTCGATTCCTAATTGAATTTAAACTAGCTTTAAACCATGTCATATCTTAACCAATAATCACGTGTAGGTTTAATTTAGAAAATTAAAAACAAAAATTTATTAAATAGTAGAGAAAATAAACGAATTTAATGGGAAAAAGCCTTTGAAATGTCAATAAGAATTTTACTTGAAATTTTCATTAACAAATAGCAACTTGCCATTTTGTGTTGTCAATTAGACGATTACGCATCTCTTTGAACAACGTTTACACTTAAATGTTTTTTTGGTAAATTCAAAGTATTATATCAACAAAAAATTACAAACATTACTTTAGATGTTTGTAAAAAATGAAATCAATGTATCATGTCATCGTAGCCTTAGAGACATGTTAAATTTCGAATTGATTCGATTTTGTTGCAAATTATTAAAAGTTAATGTCACAAAAACCAAAAAACAACTATTTATGGCATTAGATCATCAACGGATGTCAAGTTCAGGGCAGCAAAAGTTACACCATAACCAAAACCATTACATCTGATCAACGGATTGTTGGGGGAAAAGCTCGACAAAAACAAAAAGTTAAGTGCAAGCCAAACACTTAACCACCCTCTTTTGTGGGTTGCCTAAAAAAGAATGGAATTTTTTACTAAGGTACAAAAGCGGTCTAGAAATCATCCGGTGGAGATGTCTAACTTTCTGAATCACATGAACAACTATACAACAACGATCATGCCAAAACTAGACACAAAGTTGGTGGATTATTACAAATGGCGGTCTAAGTCTAACTCTTTCAACTGCACAACCCATTTGCAACTATTGGACTTGATTAGAAATCTACATGTTGCAACACAAAGAATGTGACATTAGGCATACCCAATTCCACCGTCCATTTCAAACCATCGGTCAAAGCAGTCATCTCTGCAACTATCTCTGCAACTTCAAGAGTTGTAGAATCATCCAATGGAAAGATTTTCTTCACATTCCACATACAAGTTCCCTTGGAGTCACAAATGGCCACGCCGAAACCGCCAAGCAACATCTCCGTATCTTTGACCATCTCTGTATTCAATAAGCCCTTGGCGAATAACCCAAAATCTTCTGTGGGTTGCCTAAAAAAGAATGGAATTTTTTACTAAGGTACAAGAGCGGTCTAGAAATCATCCGGTGGAGATGTCTAACTTTCTGAATCACGTGAACAACTATACAACAACAATCATGTCAAAACTAGACACAAAGTTGGTGGATTATTACAAATGGCGGTCTAAGTATAATTCTTTCAACTGCACAAGCAATTTGCAACTATTGGACTTGATTAGAAATCTACATGTTCATTACGGTGAGGTTTTCTAGGATGTGGATGTGAAGAATATGTTGGTTAGTAATCCGGAAGGAGTCAAGAATACTTCGATGCCAATTTTCTAGATCTGTTTATTGATATTTATCAATACATTTTCCAACATCACAAGGAAAAACCAGATGTTAAATAATTTTTCTAGGACCAAATGAATTCAAGTTTTCATTCTTTTTCCTTCTTTATTATTTTCAAAACTTTTATTCTATGGAATCAACTTTTAGATTTTACGTTTTGTTTCAATTAGATTAAATTGATTAAACTGATTATTTTTCTACAAGTTTGAGAATTAATTTAATAGTTTTCATACAATATATTTTATAGATTTATTTTACTGTTAATATTTTATATTTTTCTTTATATGATTACATATTTTATAATCCAAAATACCAATCAACAAATGAACTTTTCCCAAGGCCATACGATAAAGAAAAACGCTGCCTAGAAAGCTAGAGTAATCCAAGCCACTCATCGTTGTATGTTTCATTATCTACCATACAAATTTACAAACCAAATCATACACAATTCGTGTAGCATTTGACTTGTTTATTATTATGTGTGAGAAATATAGTACACAAATAAACTAAAAGACAAGCATATTTGGTTGGAGTAGGATATGAAACACAAAACTACAATAAAAATAAACGGAACCAATAACTTGTGCACTTGAGATGTGAGCCATTGGCTTATTGGAGATGTAGATAAAATCTTAAATTAATTCGAAATTTTTGATTATAAAAGAAAGAAACTCGAATATTCTTATCGGGAATATTAGTTTCATCTCTAAACAAAAAGTCGCCATCAGTTTTTTAATGATCTAAAACGCAGCATTTGGAGTTTTGTAAGAACATAATGCAGTTAATCAATCAT